GGGCCGTAGGTTGCCGACCCCTGGGTTAAGGGTTAACATACAAAATCAGAGGTGTCCAAAGTGCAGGTGTAATCTGACATTTACAACCTGTTCACAGCTTCCAATGGTCTTCCTAACATAGCACTGACCTACTCCGATTACAGCATATGATGCAGTGAAATCTGTTTCTGCATTAGCCAGGATCAATTTTTAGTTTCATTTCTGGATCAAGTTTCAGTTTCATTTCTCCTTAAGCTGCACAGCAAAACTAAATTTAACAACCGGTTTCTTTTTCTCCTATGTAGGGCAAATTTTTCTTCTTGAGCAGGGGTCCCCACACTTTTCCGGCTGGGGGCTGGTTCGATATCCTCCAGAACAGCCGAGGGCCGGAAAAAAACAACAACGGAGGTGCATGTGCGCGCATGCGCATGACACCAGGCACCATTTTGTGTTTCAAAATGGTGCCGTAGTCGTGCACATGAGTGTGCAACGGCAAGCACATGCACATGACTCCGGACGCATTTTGAAACACAAAATGGCACCCTGCATCGCGTGCGCACGACTCCGGCACTGGTTAGTCTTCCAAAATGGCGTCCGGAGTAATGCGCATGCAACGCCAAGCACATGCACATGACTCCGGACGCATTTTGAAACACAAAATGGTGCCCTGCATCACGTGCGCATGCGCACGACTCCGGCACTGGTTTGTCTTCCAAAATGGCGCCCGGAGTCGTGCGCATGCGCGCGCAACGACAGACACATGTGCACGACTCCGGACGCCATTCTGGAAGACAAAATGGTGTTCAGCGGCACGCGCGAGCAGCAGCGGTGCAGTGGCAGGACTGGCCGCAGGCCGGTTAGAAAGCTTTGACGGGCCGGGTCCGGCCCGTGGGCTGTAGTTTGGGGACCCCTGATCTTGAGGATTTCTCATTCCTTCTACGGTTGGAGAGCAAAGGAGACAAGAGGTAGAGAAAATCCACCTTCCAAGTATTGAAAAATGGCATGATGAGATAAGAAATTGTCTTTTTTTAAGGGATGCAAAGGGGAAAATGGGACAGGGAATCATAGATAGGTGCACAACAAGCTCTGGTATATAGCAGTGTAGTAAAAGGCACAATGGGAGCCAGGGGGGAGTAGCGGTTTGAGTGTTGGACTATGACTCTGGGGACCAAAGTTCAATTCCCAGTTAAGCCATGAAACCCATTGGGTGACCTTAGGCAAGTCACACTCTCTCAGCCTCAGGGGATGTCAATGGCAAACCTCCTCTGAACAAATCTTGCCAAGAAAACCCCATGATAGGTTCGCCTTAGGGTTGCCGTAAGTCGGAAACATCTCGAAGGCACACAGCCAACAACAAAAGTCACAATGCCAGTCTAACTAGTAAGGCAATGCATGTGTAGTGCACTCTTGTAATTTGAACATGTAATTTGTTTTAATATTGTAATAATTAATGTACCTTTTTTCTATGCTTTTACTTGTACTGGTTTTATTTACTAATGTAAGCCGCCCTGAGTCCCAGTTTTGGGAAAAGGACAGTAGATGATGATGATGATAATGATAATAATAATAATAATAATAATAATAATAATAATAATAATAATGATGATGTTCCCAAATTACGATTTCTTTCCAGCTTCTCAACAAACCACTGAGAGTGTTATCACTTGACTCCAGTAAGCTTTGGTTTTATTGGTAAGTAGATGCTTACATGAGGCTTCATAAATACACTCCAAACACATCTGTTCAGCAATATTAATTAAGTGTGGATGATGAGAGTTGTACTCTGAGAAGATATAGAAGGCCACACATTCCCAATTCCTGTTTCAAAATTGGCCTATTCAATGTTGTCATCATTTTAAAACATTTTTACCCCGTTTATTGCTGTTTGGCTGGTGCCACTGTTATTCTGTGTGCTACTATTTCATTTAATTTGATAGAAAGAATGGGGCAGGTGAGAAATACAGTCAGCCCTCCATATCCACAGATTTTTTAAATCCAGATTCAAGCATCCATGGATTGAAAATATTGCAAGAAATATAAATTCCAATAAACAAACCTTGATGTTGCCATTTTATGTAAGTTACATCATTTAGATTGTAAGCCGCCTTGATAGCCTAGGCTAAAGGTGGGATATAAATACATATTTTATTTTTATATTATTATTATTATTATTATTATTATTATTATTATTATTATTATTATTATTATTATTTTATGCCATTGTATTTAATGAGACGTGAGCATCCACAGAATTTGGTATCCATGGGGGTCCTGGAACCAAACCCCAATAGATATCAAGGCCCCACTGTATATCAAATTAAAAATAAAAACACCTGATTTGCCTTTTCATTAATATGTTACAGGTACTTAACTATTTATAAAGATGTCATAGAAAGTATGCATAACCTGGGACCTAAGAGCTTCTCTAATGTGGCATAGTGGTTTGAGTGTTGGACTATGACTCTGGAGACCAGGGTTCAATTCCCACCTGGGCCATTAAACCCAATAGGTGAACCTGGACAAGTCACACACTCTCAGCCTCAGAGGAAAGCAATGGCAAAGCTCCTCTGACCAAATCTTACCAAGAAAACCCCATGATATCGCCTTATGGTTGTCGTAAGTCAAAATGACTTGAAGGCACACAACAATTGTATAGCACAATCCTTCCTAGGGAGCTAAATGTTATGGACTGTCCTAGTAGACCACAAATTGAACATGAGTCAACAATGTGATGCGGCAGCTAAAAAGGCCAAGGTGATTCTAGGCTGCATCATAGTGTCTAGATTGAGGGAAGTAATAGTGCCACTCTATTCTGCTTTGGTCAGGCTTCACCTGGAATACTTCATCCAGTTCTGAGTACCACAATTCAAAAAGGATGTTAAGCTGTAGTGTGCGCAGAGGAAGGTGACCAAAATGATGAAAGATTTGGAAACCATGTCTTATGAGGAGCAGCTTATGGGGCTGAGTATGTTTAGCCTATAGAAGAGAAGGTTAAGAGCTGACATGATAGCCCTATTTAAATATTTGAAGGGATGTCACATTGAGGATTGAGCAAGCTTGTTTTCTGCTGCTCCAGAAAATAGGACACGAAGCCAGGAGTGCATTTACACAGTTAAAGCTTGTGCACCAGCTGCGCCCATTCCTTGAGACACCAGATCTGGCCACAGTCACACATGCCTAAATTACATCCTAGCTGGATTACTGTAACACACTCTATGCAGGGCTGCCCTTGAACTGAGTTTAGACACTTCAGCAGGTCCAAAAAGTTGCAGCCATATTGCTACCTGGCTACTAGGAGCACACAACTCCCTTGTTGCAACAGCTCCAATGGCTGCCAATTTTGCTTATGGCACAATTCAAAGTACTAGGTTTGATCCAGGTTATCTGAAGGTACATATTTTTCCTTATGAACCTGACCATGTTTTGAGATCTGTGAGGAGCTCCTTCTCTCTGGCTGCATCCACACTGCAGAAATAATCCAGTTTGACATCACTTAACCTGATTCATCTACAAATACTGATTCGTTTACGGAATTGTTACCATTTCATTTACAAATACTTACCTATTTTGTTGTGTGCCTTCAAGTCGTTTATGACTTATGGTAGACCTGACAGCCAGTGTGACATAATGGTTTGAGTTTTGGACTATGACTCCGGAGACCAGGGTTCAATTCTCCACTTGGCCATGAAAACCCACTGGGCAAGTCACACACTCTCAGCCTCAGGGGAAGGCAATGAATGGCAAACCTTTTCAGAACCAATCTTGAAAGAAAACTCCATGTAGGTTCGCCTTAGGTTTGCCATAAGTTGGAAAGGACTTGAAGGCATACAACAACAAAGGCGGACCTGTCACAGGGTTTTCTGGGGCTGAGAGGGTGTGACTTGCCCAAGGTCACTGGGGAAATCAAACTCCGATAACCAGAATCCTAGTCTTATGCTCAAACCACTATACCACACTGGCTCCCATTTAATGCTTCTTAGATCAAATCATTTCAAAACATGGCACATCTGCAAGATATAAAATATACACCAATACACAACTTGTATTTCAATACAAGCAGAGATTTAGTCTGGGGTATTGGTTTGAGTGTTGGACCAAGACTCTGGAAGTCCAGGGTCTGAATGCCTGCTGGGCCAGGGAAACCCAGCAGGTGACCTTGGCAAGGCACACTCTCTCAGCCTCAGAGGAAGGCAACGGCAAACTTCCTCTGAATAAATCTTGCCAAGGAAATCCCACAATATGTTTGCCTTAGGATTGCCATACATTGGAAACGACTTGAAGGCGCACAACAACAAAATCATCCTGTAAATGTCTCATCAAACTACTAATCCCAGACTTCCGTAGGATGGAGCCAATGCAGTTAAAGCACTATGAAACCGTTATATATGTGCAGTGCAGATACAACCTAAAAATAATGCTCTCTCAGTCATAGTAAGGCTTTCTTCCAGTAGGTAATCCCATAAGGATCAGGAAGAGACTGACAGAAGTCCCCTCAAAATATAAAAATAAAATAAAGATTTGTCAGATAACAAGACGTCGAAACCTGCATCCCTTTTTGGCATGAGGAACAGCATCTGTGTTCTATTTATTGCTTCTGACTTCATGATATGGATGATTTTCTTTTTTTGATGCTGGAAATTTAAGATGTCTGCAGGGAAGACAACACAAATCATATCCTCAACCCAAATTGTGGTTTCCTTTTCCATGTTCATCTGTCTTCAATGGCCCCAAATAACCACCCTTTAAAAATGATGTATGTTTTAACAGACTGATGTCTTTTAACTGATATTGTTAGTTTATTAATTGTTGTTCCCTGCTTCGATCCAAAATAATAATAATAATAATAATAATAATAATAATTTATCACATTTATATTATGAGGGTTAGAGGTGTGGGGAATACAGATGAACCCCTATCCCAAATTCCTGGGAGGGGAAGGAAATTCTTTCTGCAAACAGCCAAGTGCATTTTTGTTGTGTGTCTTCAAGTCCTTTCTGACTTATGGCCACCCATCATGGGATTTTCTTGGCAAATTTATTCACAAGGGGTTTGCCTTCCTCTGAGGCTGAGAGAATGTGACTTGCCCAAGGTTTTCATGGGTGAGCCAGGATTTGAACCCTGGTCTCTGGAGTCATAGTCTGTCTACACTGCAGAAATAATGCAGTGGAACACCCACTTTTAAATGTTGTACCTTGAGCCCATGGAACCATGGGATTTATAGTTTTGTAATGGCGTAGTGGTTTGAGAGCTGGACTAGAACTTGGGAGAAAAGGGTTCAAATCCTGGCTCGGCCATGGAAGTCCACTGAGTGGCCTTGGACAAGTGACACTCTCTCAGCCCCAGAAGATGGCCAGTGCAAACCCCTTCTGAAGATAACTTGCCAAGAAAACCCCATCGTATGGGTTTAGGTTCGCCATAAATTGGAAATCACCTGGAAGGCCCACAACAACCAGGAAATTTGGTTTGTTAACGATGAAATTAACAAATTAGGCAAATCACACTCTCTCAGCCACAGGGGAAGGTAATGGTCAACCTCCTGTGAACAAATCTTGCCAAGAAAATCCCACGATAGGGTCACTTTAGGATGGCCATAAGCTGGAAATGACACGAACGCACACAACAAGAAGGGCATTTCCTTTGTTATCGATGAAATTAACAACAGGCTCCTGGGTGACCTTGGGCAAGTCACACTCTCTCAGCCTCAGAAGACGGCAGTGGGCAAAACCCTGACCCCCCCCCCCAAAAAAAAACAACCCATGAAAAGGTGGCCATAAGTCGGGAATAATTTGAAGACGTACAACAGCAGCAACCCTCCATCCTCTGGAATCCTGGGATGTGTAGTGCGTACAACTACATCTCCCAGAATTCCAGAGGATGGAGTTTTTTTGCTTGTTTGTTTGCTGTTCCTGCGTGCCTTCTAGTCGTTCCCGACCTAGAGTCTTCCGCCTCCCCTGCCAATGGATGCAAACTACAAATCCCAGGGGTTCCTGAAACCCTGAAAGCGGGATCGAAGCGCGTTATCTCTACAGTGTGGATGCCACCCGGGAAACCCTCTCACCTGGCTCCCTGAGGCCCTGCTGGGCGACCACCAGCCATGCCTGTCGGGGATTTTGGCCTCTGGGGTCTCCCCCTGGCCTTCCTCCTCCTCCTCCTCTTCCTCCCAGGTGGAGTCATACTCCCAAGGACCCTCTTCTTCGGAATCGTCGCTGCTCTGTTCTTCCTCTTCTCCTCCTAGAGCCTTTTTGGCCGCCATGCTTCCTGCAAAGCCAGCTTCCAAGCCGGAGCCCCCCAAAAATAAAATAATATTAATGAAGGAAAGGGAAAGGAAACCGAAAGAAAAGGGAGAGCCGAGAAGGAGGAGGAGAGAATACAAAGCGAAAGGCACGTGGGAGGGGGAACGGAGGAGGAGCCCAAGGCCACGCCCTCCATTCTGACCGCAGCCCGGCTCTGCGCTCTCATTGGCTGCCGCCATGGCCTTCCGAACGTTGAAGGTGTCTCCGCGTTCTGCGGTGGAACGTTGGGAGCCTTTGAAGGTCTTTCGGCGTTCCATTCGCGGGATCGAAGCGTTTTCGAGGCGGGTTTTCTTGGCGCGCTGCGACTCAGGAGACCAGGGTTCCAGTCCCAGCTCGAGTACTGTATATAAAAGCACGCTGGGGTGGCCGTGGGCAAGGCACACTCTCTCAGCCTCAGGACGGTAGTGGCAAGCCTCCTCGGAGCAAATCTTAGTTCGTTTACTGAATCGTTACTGATTCATTTACAAATACATATTTTGTTTCTGACTTATGGCGGACCTGACAGCCAGTGTGACTAGTAGCCTATGCAGACTGCTAGAAATAATCCAGCTTGAAACCACTGTAACTGCCCTGGCTCAGTGCTAGGGAATCATGGGAACTGTAGATTATTGCGGCACCAAAGCTCTCTGACAGAGAAGGCTCAATGTCTCAGAAAAAACTACAGTTCCCATGATTCCCTAGCACTGAGCCAGGACAGTTAAAGTGGTCTCAAACTGGATTATTTCTGGCAGTCTGTATAGGCCCATAGTTCTTTCTTTCAATTAGACTCAAAGGAGCTGCAAGATCTCTGTGTAGTTAGTGGTTTGACCGTTGGACTATGACTCTGGAGACCAGGGTTCAACTCCTGCTCGGCCTTGAAACTCACTGGGTGACCTTGGTGAGGCACACTCTCTCAGCCTCAGAGGAAGGCAATGGCAAATCTCCTCTGAATAAATCTTGCCAAAAAATACACAGGATAGGGTTGGCATAAGTTAATGACAACAGGAAGGCACCTAACAACAAATGCAATTTAGAATTTTCTGCCACAGATCTCTAATTTTCCATTTCAGCAGTCGATTCCCTGCTCTGCCATGGAAACCCCGAGTGACCTTGGGCAAGTCACATTCTCTCAGCCTCAGGAAAAGCAAAGGCAAACCTCTGAACACATTTTGCAGGACTTGAAGGCACTCAACAGCAGGGTGACCCAGATGTCCTCCTTTTCCAGGACGTGCCCTCCATTTCAGCCTTCTCTCCTGGAGTTTTGGGTGACTTGCTTGCTTTGAAGTACAAATTCAGGGCCAGCCATGTTGATAGTAACACAAATTTCAAAGTCCATGTTGCATGTGCACAGAGAATTGCGAGCCTTTTTCTTTTTGGTCGGCCTAAGAAAGGAATTATTGTGATATAGACATGGGAGCTTGATGTCTTTCACCTTCTGTCACAATAACTGGCAGTTTGGAAAAAACTAGATTTTAAAAAAGAAACCTGTCCTGGGTACAAACAAGGTACACACTGCAGCGCAGATCACAAACTGATAATATCCAAAATTAGAGTAAAGCAGAAGAAGAGTACCAAATCAATTGCCATGCCAAAATATGATCTTGAAGAACATCCCAACAAAATAATTTCAAGAAAGTCTGAGAAAAATTTGCACTATTAAACCTAGTTGACTGGGAACCAGAACCGAAAAACTATGGATGCAAAATTTCACAAAGGAGATTTGATCCGAAAGATCTCTGGGATACTTGTGACATTCCTATTTAGTGTTTAAATCCTTTTTTTAGGCTCAACAAGAGCAGAGCTAATGAATCAACTGGATTTCCCCATGTGTCGATTCGCCATTCAACTATTGATTGAATGGGTCTACTCTAGTTGCGACTGACCAGCAGGATTTCAGCCTGTCTTCCTCATCTGCTTTAGAATCTGTTGTGTTTCGGTAATATGTGTTTAATGTTTAAATATTAGAACTTTTGATACTTTTAATGGTACTCTTAATCAAATCTTATACCCCACTAGAGTCCTAATTATGGGAGAAAGACGGGACATAAATGTTAAAACACCATAAATCTGGGAAGAGCAAGCAATAAATGCCACTGAGCAGCCTTGTTGAGGCCAAATCTGTATCAGGTCAGTGTCTGATCTTGGTAACTAAGCAGGGTTCACCCTGGTTAGTACTTGGATGGAAAACTGCCAATGAATACCAGGTGTTGTTTGTTTTTTCCTCCATTGTTTTTTCACACAGGTAGGAATCATGAGGGCCTTCAGATCTAGTTGGACTGCAGCTCCCAGCATTCCTGATTTTGGTATGCTGGCTAGGGCTCCTAGGATTTATCATCCAACTTCTGGAAGGCTGCATAGTTCCCTTTTCTGCTTTATCCTGTTTAATAATAAATAAATAATAATAATAATAATA